GATTCTGGACAACTGCCTTGTAAACAACAATCTTATATTTCAGGCAAGAAATGATTCACATTCTGTACTAGTTCAGTAATAGATTTTTCTAAGAAATATCCCACAAGTCAATGTACATTTAACTTTAAAGAAAATTAACCAAAGAAAAACTTGCAAGATTTTTCAAAACTTTTCCTAAAATTTACTTGATCAGATTAAGCAAAATTAGGTCAAAAGAATATTTTAGCTATGACTAGACGATCTGGCTCATTTTATAATCTTCTTTTCATAAAGGCTAAAATCTATTTAACAATTTAAGCACTTTTAATACTTTGTAGTGGTGAACAAACTTTTACAAGTGAGTAGAATCCTATTATAATGAACATCACTCTGATGTTCGCCTCCTTATGGCACTTCTTCCTATGTTCTAACCACAGCCAAAAGCTGATACGGCCTGAAGAAACATGTTGAACAGGATATCAAAAGTCACAGAAACACAGCTTCTGAGTTGGCAGTTATTTCATTTAATGAAGCTGTTTTTCAGGTAAGATATTTATATACTCCATTCACTCTTTTCAAAACATTTTATCAGTTCAGTAAAATGACATGTTTTTAAAGAGTGTTCTGCTGGTAGTACATCAGGTTTCAAACATTTTTAGTGTTGTTGACTGCTGATGCTCAGACAAACAGGGTTTCTCACAGGATAAATCTTTGCTCATTTCAGATGCAAGACATGCACATAGTTTTTCCTCTCACAAATTTCACTTCTTTATGCATTTTAAAACTGTCTCAAGCTCCTATAGAAAAGATTTTTTCCCCAATCATAAAACCCCCGCTTGGTTAGATTCCACACGGAGGCAATGACAAGACAGAAACAATGGCTGAGGAGTAACTGAGGCCTTTTGTTAAGGAATTCATGGTGAATATATTTACTTGTATCCACATTAGAAAAACAACACTTTTCTAATGTAGGTTGGCTAGTGTTTGAAAAGAGTATTCTATAGACCAGCAAATGTAATGGTATTGACTAAAGCGGGACTTTTACCTGTAGAACATACAAAACAAATTTGAAATGGTATTTCTGGGATCAACAGTAGACTGCCACAAGTCATACTAGGGAACTTGAGAGTATTCCTATTTTATACTGGCTTCTCACTTTCCTCTACAACATTTTTCAAATTCATTCCCTTTGAACATTTATTAAAAGCTGGTTTTTCTTTTCCAAATAACATTTAGAAATTATAGTTTTACATTTTAAATTATAATTTTGCATTTTAAATTATAATTTAGTACTCACAAAATTTCATAACACAGTACTACCTTCTCTATGTGTGAAGAGCTCTGACAGTTTCAATGCTATTCTATATTATTTTTAAAATGTTGACAGTGACCCACTAAATTGATTTCACAATCCATTAATAGGATATGATCTATAGTTTGAAAAATACTGACTTGGCCTAAATGATAAACAAGATGAAGTATGAGGAAATTGAGAGGGTTAAATTCATAAGGAAAGTGACTGGAAATTATTTGCATAATTCTGTGAAAATCAATAATTGGCCTTTAGTATATAACTTGCCACTATATTATTTTTCTGTTGCAGTCTAAATCCTTATTGTTTGACTTTTGCCCCAATTACTCGCCACTCTCTTCCCATATACTTCAGTGTTTCATACCCATTCTTTTGACTTATGTCTTTGAATTTGGTGCTGGTTATGTGACAGTATGTGTTTGAGACTACTGGGTGAACTGGTTTCCTCAATCAATAAGTTATGGAAAATTAAGAATCTGAGACCGATTCTGCCATGAGGAAATAAAGCAGAGGAGAGTCATATATATCAAGATAGTGAATGAAGAAATACAAACAGGCTGACTTCATCTATGAATGGATGAAAACAAAGGTTTGGTAGACGAATATTTTTTGAGCATCTGCTCTGCGCTGATCATTATACCTCTGTGCCACCTACTGTTTTCTTTCTTATATGTTTACATATAAGTCTTATCTCTACTATCAGACTATAAGCAACTTAAAGATATAATCCATGTATAATTTCTTTGAATCTTCTATAGAAACTAGCATAGTATCCTAGGATCAACAAATTCTTGATTATTAGAGATCAATACTTGCTGAATGAATATGTCAAACACACCAATATACAAGTAAAGAACTACCTTGATTCTCAAATGTCTTCCTCTTAGCATCAAATCAAAGAAAGCAACATCCTGAGTGCCTGTTGTCTGTGCTCCCCAAAAAACAAATAATAAAATACTGAAGTATTCTTAACTAGTGGTTATGTAAAATATGGTAACATATCCTTAAAAGATGAAACAGTAGAATAGCTGAACTGGTGCCTGAAACAGCAGTACTTGATCCAAAATGCTCATTCCAAGTGAGTTCACCAAATAAGGTTAATGTATTTCCATGCAATGTAATTATTAAATATTTATTGAGAGGCTACTCATGGGCCAAGTACTATGCTAGGTTCTTGGCTACAGTGGTGAGCAATAAATGATCTTGCCCTCAGGGAGCTTTCAATCTATGGGAAAACAAACAAACAAATGATAACAAGAAAATGTGCAAAGTGCAAAGACAGAGGAAGTACCTACAAAAGGCAGCTAAGCCAGATTTGGGAGCAGGTAGGGATGTGGGCTTCCCTGGTGACTCAGAGGTTAAAAGCGTCTGCCTCCAATGCGGGAGAGCCGGGTTCGATCCCTGGGTTGGGAAGATCCCCTGGAGAAGGAAACGGTAACCCACTCCAGTATTCCTGCCTGGAGAATCCCATGGACGGAGGAGCCTGGTAGGCTACAGTCCACAGGGTCGCAAAGAGTCCGACACGACTGAGCGATTTCACTTTCACTTTCAGGGATGTGAAGGGGCTTCCCTTGTAGCTCTGTTGGTAAAGAATCTGCCTACAGTACAGAAGACCTGGGTTTGATCCCTGAGTTGGGAAGATCCCCCAGAGAAGGAAATGGCTAACCCACTCCAGTATCCTTGCCTGGAAAATCTCATGGACACAGGAGCCTGGTGGGCTGCAGTCCATGGGGTCGCAAAGAGTCAGGCATGACTGAGCCACTAACACTTACTTAGGGATGTGAAGAAGAGGCTTAAAGAAGGTTTCTTAGAGGTAGCAGTAAATTGAGATCTGAAGAATTAAGGGAAGCTAAATAAGCAAAATCTAGGCAGAAAGTATGGTGGATAACATCACACTTATTTTAAAAGATTTTTCTAGAAAGCTGATTATACCATTCAAAGAACTTTTTCTGTCTTTCTTTGATAGAAAATTCATAATGCCCAACATTCTGCCTACAGCCTGGATCCAGTCTCTTAACATTACAAACTGATGAACTGGCATTTATAAGTCTTACATGGTTGAAAAACAAAAACAAAAATACCTCAGATCATAAAGTAACAAGAGATCAATTTACTTCTTTTCTGTTAAAACTGTTAAACAGATATAATACAAGGAATATAATAGATCATGCATATATAATAAAAAATACATTTCTTCAGTAGGGGTGTCCTAGTTTATAATTTTAGTAATTGTCTATGGCATCTAATAGGCTTTTGAGAATGCAATGACACTCTACTGGTATGGAGAACACTCTCAAACACCCATCAGGACGGTTTCCCTGGTGTTTCAGCAGTAAAGAATCTGCCTGGCAATGCAGGAGTCACAGGTTGAGCCCTGATCTGGGAAGATTCCACATGCTGGGGAGGAAATAAGCCCAGGCACCCCACAACAATGGAGCCTGTGCTCTAGAGCCCGGGAGCGGCAACCACAGATCCACATGCCACAGTTACTGAAGTCCACGTGCTCTAGACCATGCTCTGCAGCTCCAGAAGCCACTGCATGAGAGCCCATGCACTGCAACTAGAGAGCAGCCCCCACTCGCTACAACTAAAGAAAGGCCCTCTCAGCAATGAAGACCCAGCTTAGCAAAAAAAAAAAAAACCATCAGGAGCAAAAATTGACCTGATTCTTTACGTTAACACCTCATAGCTATAATCAAAATAAACTCTGGTCTAGACAATATTTTAAAACTTTAAACTTTACCATTTTGTTATCTCTAACTCTCCCTATATAACAAAACACCAAAAAAAAAAAAAAAAAAAAAAAAAAAANAAAAAAAAAAAAAAAAAAAGGAGGGAAGTTAAACAAGTACACAGGTTATGAAGAATAAGGCTGAGATACTGGCAAGGTCTGTTTACCAAGAAGTGAATTTATTTTCACATTGGTGAAAGTCAATTATTATTTTTATTTATCCTCATTTTACTTTAAGTAAAAGGTGCCATGGCACCCATAAAGTTTTTTTTTTTTTTTAATCTCAAGATGCTATGCCTTATATAGGTTTGTATTGTTGTACATCTGGGAGTCAGCTTATACTTATCTAAACTTCACATACAATTAAATTAAATGCTCTCTGTAGGTACAGCTTTAGCTACAGATGAATAGAGTTCCAGGAAAACTCCATTAGGAATTTCACTATTTACACTATACCAACAATGGCAGCTGGTGCATTTTTGGCCACACTGAGCACTCCTTCCATTGCTCATGACCAACTCACCCTTTCCCCCTAGTTTGATTATCTCACAAATCAAGCTTTGATTTACATTTTGGTGTCTTATCATGGATTAAGAATACTACTCTACAGTTAACATTTTATTTTTAAAGGAAGAAAGCTTTACATATAACTAAAAAATAATTTTCAAGCATACCATCCCAGCCAGTTAGCACACTGTATTAAATATCTCCTTTAACCTTGTACTGTTGAAAATAGGGCATTTCCCTCCAATCTTCCTATCTTTAGCTACAACTTCATAAAAATGGTCATGTTACCAATGACCCACACAAATACAGTTAATTCAAGATTCCAACTACTATTTCCAGGATTAATATAGTCACAATACCTACTTCTTCAAACACTCAAACTTTCTAGTTTCACAGTTTCATCAACCTGTCTTGGATAAAAGTTCTAATTTCATTTTTTTCAATTTCTGATTAAATAAAAAACAAACAAACCTGTTTTTCACTTAAGTGAACAAACTCTGTGATATCCTACCGAGTTTCTGCTAGGCAGAGCACAGCTGCGGGGTTGCTACAGCAACTCTTGTACACTGACCATAGACAGCCCCATCCAGGAAGGAAATTGTTTGCTCCACCCCCTGAGGAGTCAAAGGCAAGCAGCAGTCTGTGAGCAGAGACACATTTTCAGTTCAGTAATTGTGATGGAGCAACAGGAGACCATTCTTTATCGTCTTTCCTAATACATGTCACCCCAACAACCCAAACAAACTTCAAATCAAGTTGCTATATGAGTACATATTTCCACATCATGGAAGGATTGTATTCTTTACCCAACCCCCACTAGAAACCTGAGCCAGGGAACAAATCAAAGCAATTTCATCCTAGGCACATAGAAAAAGAAAAAAAGAAAAAAAAAAAAAAAAAAGAAAATGTAGAATATTCTCACTTCTATGAAGAGTACCTTTTGGTTCTTGCTTTCAGGCTTTAACCCCTGCAAACTCAGGATCTATGACAATTTTTTCTCTTTTTGGCTGCTCAGATATAACATTTACTGAGTTTTTATTCAGTGCCAATCCTTCTGCTGGGTGCTTAGACATGTTATTTTATCTAATCTCACAACAACCCTATGACGTAGGTAGTAATACAATCCCAGCTTTACAAATGAGAAACAGAGGCTCCAAAAAGTTATTTGATTGTCTAAACTACTAAGTGGCAGAATCAACGTGAACCCAAGTCTCCTATTTCTGAGATTTATGTTTTTTCTACTACATTGCACTGATTTTGCAAGAAAATTCACAATTCTTAGTTAAAATATTCAAGTGTTCCTTAAGTGATTTTAATTTTTTATGGTAATTTGTTTTAGTAAAACATTTCCACAAGTAATGACTTTACAACTGATAAATTAAAAATATTCAGCCACCATCTTAAGTGCATAGAAAACAAAGGCATATCCTGGTGAGTTTTTTGCCAAGTATAAACTATGGCACTCACATTCTTGAGAAAAGATAAAGTCGAAAAATAGGTAAGGTGATGAAACTGAGTTTAGATAAAGCAATCTGTGGAGCATCTCTTGGGTTGAAGGAGCTGTTAAGGAATAAGGGAGTGAAAGTGGGTGAAGGACAACATTTAAACCAGAGAGAAAGACATGTTTATTTAAGTCATTAGTGACTTTCAAGGACAATTCCAAGTATAAATCTGCCCATTTTCAATCATATCTTCACTTCAGGTATGGAGAGGTCTTCAAGAAGCACCTCTTTTTCTCTTCATAAGAATGAATTATAGTTTTTCTCCTTCCCTCACAGACAACCCACAATTACTCTCTTTCTCCTACATACACTCTTTGGGATTTCCTAAGAGGATATAAAGACTACCTTTTAAAAAACTGCTTTTCCTGGTTCCCCAAGATCTTGATCTTTTTATTCTTCCATACCTATAGCTTGACTATCCCCCAGCTATAGATAAAGATGCACCTCCAAAACTGTCCTTTTAGAATCACCATTTTTTAAATTGCTATCTTATCTTCTGAGCTCCTCCCTTCTGTTACGCCTTTTGTGTCAGTCTTCTAGTTCTACTTCAGGTGATGACTCCAATTCTCTAGTTGCCCCAAAGGATTCTGGTGAGAAACAAAGTAAATTCAGTAGAGTTGTACTAGTTTTCACACGTTTCTGGAAAGACAGGTCAACAAACATAAATTCACTATAAAGCATATATGTACAAAGAAATATCTTATGGCATCACTAATCAAAGCATAAACATGTAGTTGTAAAGGAGTCAGATTTAAAAAAAAAAACAAGAGCTAAATTTATAAAAGAGAATGGGAATAGCAGAGAAAGGCTTTCATAGTTGGATTACTGTCATCTAAAAGTTAGTTTACTATGAGTTCCTATTCAGAATTGTCACATTAAAAACGGACTAAAGGCCTCTTCACAAAGCTTTTCCCTTTCCAAAGAAGAAAAACATTCCCCAGATCTAAAACAAGACAGGGAAGAAGCACAAGAAAAGTTAAAAGACCTGTCCATACTCTGTTAATTTTATATTTGTTCTTTATATAAGCTTCTTAAGGTTACAAGCCTACTAAATGAAAAAGTGGAATGGCCATTATATCTCAAATTCAACTCAATTTTAAATATCATCAGTCTAGTATAATGTTTTAAACTTAGCTTAATGTATCTGCAAAGTGAACAATGTTTCTAAAATACGGTATGCTGAGGTATTTTAGTCAATAAAAAAGAATAGGAAAGCAATCATTTATTATTTGGGTTTCTTAGGAGATCATTAGGCATTCATTTTAAAATACAATTTGATACTTTATAGAGGCTAGAAACATAATTCAAAATTTCATAAAGGTTATTAAATTAAAACCACTTTAGACAGTTCAAGATCTCATTGACAAAGTTCATTCAAGATGATAGTTTTGCTATTGTGTTACTGTTCCCACATAATATCATCTTGTCTCAATTTCATCTGAAGATTATGGACTCGTATTGGACGAAAGTTGCTGTTCTTCTGAAGAGAGTTAGTTAGCAGACATTTTCTGGGGCTATTTTTTATATTCTTTGTTCCTTTACAGTTGCTATCTTCTTGCTGAATAGCTGAAGTTTCACTCATCTTTGAATTCTGAACTGTTTGCTGCAGTTTGCGGACCTGGAAAGAAAAAAATCTAATATTTCAGTCAAAAATATACTTAAAATGTACCTTATAATAGAGGATTGGATTGATGGTTTCAAGATTACATGAAATTAAAAAGTTTGGTAAGTCTTTATTTATTGAATACTTATTGCATGCCTAACACTGAGATATTTATACAGAAACATAATGAATAAAACAATCATTGCTTTCAAGGAGCTTATTGCTCTTATTATTAAAGAAAAAAAAGCATATATGTGACAGCTAGAGAATAATTCAAGCCAGAATAACTTTGAGTAGGACAAAAAGTGTATGTCTAAGAAGGATAAAGGAGGACAAGATCAATGTGGGCTGGAGAAGCTGAGAGAAAGAAATGTTTGTTTTTGTAAGATAAGACATGGGAAAAATCAGGAGAACATGGAGGAGAGAGAAGGACCTTTCTGGTGACATTAACAACAAAGCAAAAATATGGTGCTAGGAGTGAACATCAAGTTTATAGAGTCTATATTTTTTCTTTAAAGTATTCCTGAATTTAAAGTAGCTAGTTTTGTTTTGTTTTTAAAGGCAAAGGAATAAATAACCTTATCTCATTGAGGAGTTTCTAGTAATGATTGGGTTGACGGAATTAAACAAAACAAAATCTATAAACTAGTTAAACCCTTTTCTTCCAAGTCTAGTCCATTACTGAATCTTTTAAAAAATTATTTATTTTGGCCTCATTACATGGCTTGTGGGCTCTCAATTCCCCAATCATGGACGGAACCCATATACCCTACTGAGGAAGTGGAATCCTGACCAATGGACCGCCAGGGAATTCCCCACATTACTTAATCTATTTCACTTAAGCATAACCTGGTTGGTAGAGCTGGTCCAGACACTGGCAAAGTATCTGGTGTTATGTTTACCTAAAAATTCTTAAAAATTTTTACTTCTATAGCAATTTACTTCTATAGCTATTATAAATTATATATATATAATATTTTCAAAATATAATTTATGTACATACTGCCTAAATTTAAAAAATATGACTACTCTTCTATTCCTTTTAGGTTTCTCCTATGTGATTCTAAGAAAGTATACAAGTTACATAATTTTCACCCTAACACAATCATACAGAAAGCTTACTTACTATAGCTTTAAAAGCCAGTTAAGTGAAAATGTTTGCTTCAAAATTTCATTTCCTTCTGTCTTTCTTTATTACTTTCCTATAAAAGTGGGGAAGGCTTAATTGTGAGGTTAATATATTACCAACTTATATGAATGCTGATAATTCCATTAGCAGATAGCTACATGATATGACCTGAGGGTTCCTGGAAAGATTCCCTCTGCTTTCTTTTCCAGGAGCATAACAGTCCTAAGAGTGAATTCATTGTCTTGGGATGAAATATAATATTCCATGATTTTTTTGTCAAAACATTAAGATTGTTATGCCATTCTTAGTTATTACGAATTTATACACAAGGATAGAGTCCTCCTCATCACCTCCACTAGAGTGAGCTAAGCATAGGTCCCCAAGGAAAAAACACAGCATGGCTTGTTCTGAGAAACTGGAAATAGTGGTTTTAGAGATGGGTATGCTTGAGGAGCCAGGTTTATATATAAGATAGACACCTGTTGACCTAAGGGGCTTCAGTAAGGCATTAGGAAAGAGAGGGACAAGAAGAAAAGAATGCTAAAAGGACAGCTGGGAGAGCTGTAAAGCAAATTTAGCCTACCTCTTAATTTTCCTAAAGTTACTTCTGAATACATAACTAAACTTTCTCTTTTTTTTCTCCCTTTGGCTGTGCCGTGTGGCTTGTAGGATCTTAGTTCCCCAACCAAAGACTGAACCTGGGCCCCAGCAATGAAAGCACAGAGCTCTAACCACTGGACAGCCAGAGAATTCCCCATAACTAAATTTCTTTGTTCCCTTTTCTTTATATTATATTGAGTATTATGTAGCAGACCATGTTATTTCAATGTACAGATGATTCTATTTTGTCGTAAGTCTAAGTGACTCCTATCTATCATCTTTTCACTAAGCCACACAATCAGGCCTTAAATTTGGAAGGTCTAGAGAAATGTAACATTGAATCCAGATATATTATCTTTTTATTAAAATTTTTTACTAAAACTTTCTTACGCTATCTTGATGCTGCATTAGTTTGGAGATTTGTTCTCCTTTAATTTCCATTTTCTTGACTAAACGCTCTAGTTCACATTCTATATCTTCACAGACTGATTGGCTTTCAGTTTCTTTCATTTGATTCAGCAGGTCTTGGTACTCCCTATGAAAGAAAAGCAAGTATCAAGCACTATTACAGTTTATAGTATACAAACTATATATATATACACAATATATTATATATATATAATATATTAATCTTTGTCACAATTAAACAATATTCTGCTCAATCATAAATTTTAATCAGAGTTAAATATTAACCTTCAAAGACAGCTTCTTTTTGTAGAGTTATCAAATTAAATCTATGGTAATTATAAACAGGCTGTTATGATTTGAGATTAGATATATTTAGAAATATCTCAGACTTAGGATCTCAAAGAATCTTAAAAAAGTCTGAATTCTTAGTGTTTATAGTTAAATGTAGTAAAATATTCTGATGTCCTTAGCTAGAGGCATTAAGGGACTCTTTTTTATTCCAAGTTTGGAATTCTTAATGTAGATTCTTTGGAAGAATTTCAGCTATAGAAGTATTTGCCCGAGAAATTCCTAGATTTGGTGATAGCTTGCTCAAAAAAAACCACTGCTAATATAACTAGTATATCTTCTATGAGGTCTTAGTTCAACTAGTTGGCCACCCAAGTCACATATTTTCTGGAATATTTGTTGAAAAGATATTTAAACTTAAAGCTTAAAATATGTATCCCATACAGAATCTGTATGTATCCCATACAGAATCTTTGAAGTATATGGATGCTTCAAACATGCAATGCAGACCAGCCAGAACGGAAAACAAGAAATTGCATTCCTATTTGTCAAATGAAATCATTCACTTACCTGAAAAGATTATAAAAAGCAGAAGAAGAATCTATCTTAGAAAAGCATTTGTGAATTATAATTTAAGGTCACCAGACCCCATTTGTTAGAATGACAGAAATATTTGTCTATCAGTTCAGATCTTGGGAATACAGAAACACTTTAAATAGAAAAAAGTAATCTTCAGATCAAAATAAGTTCAAAAGGCTAAGTAAGGCTTTTAGGAATTTGTAAGTGATATTCTTTGAAAGACTGAGAAGAAAAAAAGATACCTAAATTTGTCTTGCTCCTTCTTGTGATAAATACTTACCTAGTCATTTGGTCTAGCTCATCTTGCATTGCCATCAAAAGTTCAGACAAATTGTTGCAAATAGAAATGGACTTTTCTGAGTCAGAAGGTACAGCTTTACATTGAGAAGTTGTTCTAGAAGGCTTGTAGAGACATCTAAACTCAGTAACTTCAGCTGGTTTCTGAAGGATATGTGGCCCATAATGTGGCACTGTTTGAAGGTTTTGTGTACTTGCATTCGCAGAATGGCTTGCTCTGGCAGACTTTGGGGGAAAAGAAATAGCTGAGAATGATTTTAAATAACTGATGGCATTTAAATAGCACTTACATCAAAGCATGAATTTATCTGAACAAGTATCCTCATTTTTCCCTTCTCACCTTCTCAGCCATAATAGGCAGTGTTCCAAATTTTGAACAAATTTGCTGAGATGGTCCTCTCTTTAAACATTTAGTTTTCTAAATATTGACAAGGGGAAAAGTAAACAAAAAATATTTTAAAAGACATTTATCAAATTAACATCATTACACATTAGGAAATGCAAGTTACAATGAAATATCACTTTACACCTGTTAGAATGGTTAAAAAAAAAAAAGTGACAACACCAAATGCTAACAAGGAAGTGGAGAAGCCAGATTGCTCATACACAAAATAATGCAGCCACTTTGGCAGACAGTTTGGAAGTTTCTTGTAAAATTAAAGATTTATTGATAGCTATCATATGACTCAGAGATTTCACTATTAGATACTTACCCCAGGGAAATGAAAAATATGTTCACACAAAAACCTGTATACAAAGTTTATAACTGCTTTATTTGTGATAGCCTAAAATTGAGGCAGCTTCCCTTGTAGCTCGGTCAATAAAGAATCTGACTGCAATGCAGGAGACTCGGGTTCGATTCCTGGGTTGGGAAGATCCCCTGGAAAAGGAAATGGCAATCCACTCCAGAATTCTTGCCTGCAGAATCCCACGGACAGAGGAACCTGGAGGGCTATCGTCCATGGGGTCACAAGAGTCAGACACAACTTAGCAACTAAACTACAACTGCTAAAACTGAAATCCCATGGACAGAGGAACCTGGTGGGCTATATAGTCCATGGGGTTGCAAAAGAGTTGGACACAACTTAGCAACTAAACAACAGCAACACTGAAAACAACTCAAATCTCCTTCATCGGGTAAATGGTTAAACTGTGGTACATCCCTAACATGGGATACTACAGAGAAACTTTTAAAAATGCATCAATACTTGGATGGATTGGCTGAGTGAAACAAGCCTCTCAAAAGGTTATATACTATATGATTACATTTATATAACATTCCTGAAATAAAATTATAGAGATGGTAAACAGATTATAAGTTGCTAAGGGTTAGGGAGGATGATGTGTAACTCATAACACAAAGGGATAACATGAAGGAACCTTATAGTAGTGGAATAGTTCTGTATCTTCATAGTGGTGATGGTTACAAGAATCTACACATGTGATAAAACTGTATATGATCACACAAATATGCATATACACATACAACTAAGTGAATAAAAAACTGTTGAAATCTCCATAAGCTCTGTATATTGTACCAATTTCAATTTCCTGGACTTTATTATATTTATGAAAGATGTTACATTGGGGGAAGCTTGTTAAAGATATATGTTGCTGCTGCTGCTGCTAAGTCTCTTCAATTGTGTCCAACTCTGTGCGACCCCATAGACGGCAGCCCACCAGGCTCCCCTGTCCCTGGGATTCTCCAGGCAAGAACACTGGAGTGGATTGCCATTTCCTTCTCCAATGCATGAAAGTGAAAAGTGAAAGTGAAGTCGCTCAGTTGCGTTCAACTCTTCGTGACCTCATGGACTGCAGCCTACCAGGCTCCTCCGTCCACAGGATTTTCCAGGCACTAGTACTGGAGTGCGTTGCCATTGCCTTCTCCAAAAGATACATGGGACCTCCCTTTATATTTTTTTTTATCATCTCTAATCTATAATTTTTCAAAATAAAACGTGAAAAACAAAAAACAAACAAAAAAAGGCACATGGTTAGGATATGGAAGAATGGTAACTGCTGACTGGAACATAAACTGGTCCAATCACTTTGAATAACATCTTGTAAAGCTAAGGTGCATGACACTTATGGCCCAGTATCTCAGAGAAACTCCTGAACACTTACACCATGAGGCATGTACAAGAATGTTCATAACAGTGTTGTTTATAATAACAAAAAGTGAGAAATAAACCAAATGATCACTGAAAGGACAAGGGCAAAAGAAATTTTTAGCAGTAAAAAGCAGTGAACCATTCATATATGCATCAATTGGAAGAATCTCATAAACTTAATGTTGAGTGGAAAAGAAAGCTGCTGAAGAACACAAATAGAGTAAGTCCATTTATATAAAGTTCAAGTGTAAACCTAACAAATATATTTCTCATAAATACTTATTTGGCAAAGTAATTTTTTTTTTTAAACCAGGAGAATGATGAAAACAAAGTCAGAATTGTGGTTACTCCTTGGATGGAGGGAATACAATTAAAGAAAGGTACACGCTGGGCCTTAACAGTGCTGGTAATGTTCTATTTTCTTAAGCTGTGTGGTGAGTACTCCAGTGTTAATGTCATTATTATCCTTTGAGCAGACATTTTTTGTTATATTAGGTTGGCCAAAAATTTGCTCAGGTTTTTCAGTAACATTTTATGGAAAAACCAGAATGAACTCTTTGGCCAAACCAATATGTACTCCTTTGTGAATCATTTTTAAAAAGACACTGCCAAGCTACATTCTTAAAAGTAAATTATTTCACTATTTTTGCTGGATGGATTGAATTAGGGTGACCAATTGTCTCAATCTGCCCATGATACAGGATCTTCAGTTCTAAAACCAGTAAAGTCATAGGCAAACTGGGGTGAATTGGTCACTCTATTTAACACTTTAGCAAGAGAATAATCAATAAGCTGAACATATTCCATAATAAAAGGAAAAAAATATTCCCAATTTCAAAGGATAATTTAGATATCTTAACTATTATAAACATTAATTTTTTTAATTAAAAAAATTAAATGACTCAGAGGTAGAGATATCACAAGTTTGTGAGTCAGTTCTTATTCACTCAGATTTTCTTGGTGATGCTGGACAATCATTCAAGCTCTGTACCTTAGGAATGATAATTTCAAGTAATAGAAAATGATGGTCTGATCAAAGTCTATTTTAAGCAGTTAAATTAGAACAAAAGAAATGTAATTTTTTTAGTCACTATACTGAATGAGATTTCTGACTGATAATTACAATCTATCCTTTCAAAAGAATAATGAAAACCTCACAGGACAGGCTTCCATTATCTTGCTTACAATATTCAGTCTGATTCTTTACTTCCAAGCTCACCTTATGCTGTTGTTGGTTACTATCTAGAAGCATAGTTCTAATCATGTCTCTATAAGCCTTCAATGGTACACAATGACTTATAGAACAAAAGTTCAAATTCTTAACATGGCCTTGAAGTCATAATGTCACTTCAAGCTATATTTTCAATTTCAAGTCTCACATGGTACTGCTGCTGCTGCTGCTAAGTTGCTTCAGTCGTGTCCGACTCTGCACAACCCCACAGACGGCAGCCCACCAGGCTCCCCTGTCCCTGGGATTCTCCAGGCAAGGACACTGGAGTGGGTTGCCATTTCCTTCTCCACATATGGTACTAAGACTGGACAATTATTTATAGTTTCATGTAAAAATCAACTATACTCTCAGACTGTAACACACCTCGCCTCATCTCTATCAATACTCACTCATTTTCCAAGTCTGCCTTTACAACTTCTTGTGTGATCTTTTCACATATTCTTTATGTGTACAGCACCTGAATACTTTGTTTATACCTTTATTAAGTTTTTAGCACACTCTGTCTTATATTTGTGCTTTTGTCTACTTCTCTGTAAATTCCCGTGTTATCTTTTTAACTACCTAAAGGTACTAATCTATGTAAATCAAGACATATGAGTTAAATGAACTATGTCCAGGATATGGAGTAAGTGTCAGTGAGACAAGCAGGAATCTCACAGAGGTCTCTTAAAAAAACCCAAATACTACCTTCAACGTTAGTGCTTCTGCTACCTTTAAAAGGAGGCATTATTACTTACAGATCTATGAACTTGGAACTTAAGCTAACTGCTTTTATAAAGTGGTTTTGCTGTCAATTATTTTTTCTTTTCTTCCAGGAGCTACCTTTTCTTTCCTTTGTTTCTTTTACCTTGATTTTCCCTGTACCTTATTAAAAAATCTTTTCTACCAGCTCTTCAAAGGATGTCATAAAACATAAGTACAAAAACAAGTCAGTGTTTTCCCACTTGTATAAATTACTTATAGTGATTCTCTATTTGGCTTTGCAGCTTCTAATCTTACTGTGGAGATAAGACACAAAACATACTTGAGGAAGGAAATAAACTAAAAAAAATCAACATAAACTGCATTGGGAAAATATTCTTCATTACTGTAGTTTGCAAATTCTTTGAAAGAAAAAAATGTGTGAAAAATGCAGCCAAACTACTGAATTCTTATTTATGGAATAAACAACTAGCTTAAGTTAAGTATAATGTTTCCTCCATTACTGTATACACAGGGTGAACTTATAGCAGTGGCCAGAATTCACAAATAGCATGCTTGGTTCATAGAGCAAATAGTACCCAGAAACACTACATGCATATTGAATAAATAGTAATAATGGTCATCAAAACTATAATTTCAGAATCATAAGATTAAAAGGGACTAACATTTTCTTTACCATGATAAATAAAAAAGTTTAATATAATAAATCCAAAACATCAATTTATCAAAACAAATTATTATTGGTAAAGCTATAAAGTACTCATTCCCCAATCTTTAAGCAAGTCCAAAGGATATTAGCATAAAAAAAAATTTCTCTAGAGAAATTACTATAATTATAATTTAATATTGTAATTTATAATACAATATAACTTAATAGTATATCTTGTCTTTTTATTGTACATGTATTATATAAAACTGTTTCCAGAATCTATTGTGTTGTATCTATTGTATTGTTTCGTGCTTCTTTTATAAACTATCCAAAATACATTTCTTTAACAGTTTAGTACTAGCAACATGTTTGCCTTTCTAGAAAAACTAGAATGCTTATTGTTATTTCACAAATTTAGATGTATTGCCCATTATATGTTCCTTTTTGCTTTGGGTGTCAAGCAAACTCAGAAGCTAGGTTTTGTGCTCAAATGCTGCTACTTTCTTTAACCTAGGTTTTATGGAATTTTCTGTCCTCACGCCCCAAACCATCATGACTTGACTTATGTTTTTAGGTCCATTTCATAGAATTATTTCATGTCTTATATTATAAATATCTTCAAATTCTTTTTGGAAATGCACAGGTATAATTACTAAAAGGATGAAGAACTAAGCACTAGCAAATAAGAATAAAGTATTTGCATACCTTTGAAGATTTCTTCTTTTCCTTGAAGTGCCTTGGATTTGTTACTGAAGACATTAAAATTCTATTGATTTCAAGTCCAGTTTGAAGCTGTAATAGTGAAAAAAAACCTTTACTATTACTTGAATTTTAACAAATTTCTTTTTCTTCAAAAACATTATAATGAGGGATTATACATCAGTTGATAAAGATAAAAATGCTTTTTTTTGAAGAAAAGAAAATCCCAAATATTATTTTTTTTGTGTTAAAGTCACCAAGTCTACTGGTAATTACAATCATTTTCTGTTTATAACAGAATGAGTTATTTTATATCTCAAACTGAAAACAATTGATAGCATGAGCTCTTTCAACTGAGAATATATATATGTTCCTCAGAATTTCAAAAGATCAAAAGGTCTTTGGCAATATATCCAAGTCTATGAATATACTTGCTAATTTACTGAGATTTCATTATTACAGCAGAAGAAGACAAAACTGGTAAGTTAGGAAGCAGAAATTAGAGTCCAGGGTAAGGCTTCAGTTAATAAAGTATAATAAAACATATGTGATTTTAAAGTGCCAGATAATATAGTATTTTGTTTACCTGAGAAGCTTTATCTTGAAAGAGCTTACGCTGATGTTCCTCTTCCTTTAGTTTTTCCTCTAAATGTTTAATCTTATCCTACAAAAGAATTGAAAAACTGGGATTATTAAACAAAAACTAGAGCCAAATATCTTTTGTTTCTTTTCCAAATAGAGCCCTCAGGGTCTTGATTCTTAATAGTTTGGTAAATTAAAGCAGAAAGTATGAAGAAGGAATGGCAAAAGATGCTAAGTTTTCCTTGGCTTTCTTAGTATGATTCTTTACCTACTTTATGTAAGAAGGACAAAGGAGAAGCAAAGAATGTATATGCATAGGCTCTATTAATTTCATTAAAAAAATCATAATACTGAAAATTTGGGAGGTTTTAATGGTCTAAAAGGTCAAACAATATAGTCTTGGGTCTCAACATTTCATTCAAAATATGGACAACTTACAATAAAAGACTATGCTGTACTTAGGGAAAAGTGAAAGTGAAATCGCTCAGTCATGTCCGACTCTTTGCGACCCCATGGACTGTAGCCTGCCACGCTCCCCTGTCCATGGGATTTTCCAGGTAAGAATACTGGAGTGGGTTGCCATTTCCTTCTCCAGGGGATCTTCCTGACCCAGGGATCGCACTGCAGGCATACTCTTTACCATCTGAGCCACCAGGGAAATAAGACTAATATACATGAAACAATATGATTTGACCCAGGTCATGAACATATATGTATAACCTTATATACAAAAGTATTTCATCTTATATCCATGGTATAGTTTGGAATAGGAAGACAGTACTATCTCAAAGGGAGAACTTCCTGAGTACTCGAAATCTCACGGAAGGCTTCATAGAGAAAGCAGGAATGGGAGAATCCTACAAAATGGATAGGATTTGGTTGGAAAAGGAGAGGGCATTTCAGGATAGAATCTAGAATAGGTGTAACTTACTTGCAAGTGGTGAAAGGCTATCTTTTCAATAACATTTAGGTAAATCACCTAACAAATGAAAATATTCTACCACTGCAGAAGAAGGTAAAACTACAATTTCACATCAAAAAGCAAACTCATTTATGCTGTGATCTATAGGCAATAACTCATATCTGGATTACTAAAATCTATTAATGAAGTTTTACAAATCTAATTTTATTGCATATTCATATACAGGGTAATTACACATAACACTAAATATTTATTCCTGGTATCACCACTTCAAAGAAATAAGTTGAAGCTTACCTCAGCAGTTTTCTGAGTTGTTGTAAGCTTAAAACATTCTTTTTCTAAGACATCAAGCTTTTCAAGTTTTGCATGAAGCTTCATATGATCCTGTTCTTTTTCCCTTTGAAGCTGGGCCTGGAAAGGAAAAAAACAAAACCTAAATTTGGCAAGTGAAGCCAATTGCTCAAGAATAATACAATTTCTGAGAATTCAAAGCACAATATAAATTGTCATAAGAAACACATAACAAATATGCACATACTTTAGGTACTTTAAAAGCAAAAAAACAAGAGAAAATAAAATACTTTTCAAAAACAAAGAAACTGCAAAAAAAGATATTAGATCAATGGAACAAAATCTTCTCTGTATCTTTATATAACACTTCTACTATGGAAAACATCATCAGTGAAACATATTAAATAAACAAGGTGTTATCACAAAGTGATCAAACCTACTTATTGACTTACCCTCTCTCTAACTATAACACAGAAAAGCAGCTATCAAAGGACTAAAGCATACAGAGAACTTGGAGAAAAGGAAAGTTACACATATATATTTGTTGGTGTTGAATTGCTAAGTTGTGTCCAACTCTGTGACACCATGGACTGTATAAAGTCTGCCAGGCCACTCTGTCCATGGGATTTCCTAGGCAAGAATACTGGAATGAATTGCCATTTCCTTCTCCAGGGGATCGTCCCGATCCAGGGATTGAACTTGTGTCTTCTGCACTGGCAGGCAGATTCTTTATTGCTGAGCCACCAGGGAAGCTCTACACATATATATGCATACCTACGAATTGTCTTGTAATGGTATTTATTACCACATTAATGCAAGATGTTAATGACAGGGGCAACTATGAGGGGACAAGAAGCATATGAGAATTTTCAGTATTATCTGACAAATCTTCTATAAACTTGAGACTCCTCTTAAAAAAAGTTTATTAAAAATAAAAAACTGAAAAAATAAATAAATAGAGTTTTGGTGACCAGTGGTCTAACATTCTATTGGAATTACAGAAGGAGGAGAGAGAGAAGTCAGACAAGAATAACTATTTGAAGGCTAATGCCTAAAAATGTTCCAATTCTGATGAAAAATATTAACTGACAGATTCAAGAATCTAAAACGAACAAACAAAAAATAATCCAAGCAGAATGAATACAAAGAAAACCACATTTGGGCATATTATCAAATGGTTGAAAACCAGTGATAAAAGGGAAAAAACAACCTAAGAAATAACACACTATGCACAGAGGAATGAAGATAACAATTCTCATTAGAAACTATGAAATCAGGCTTCTCTGGTGGTCCAGTGGTTGAGGATCTCCCTGCCAATGCAGGAGACACGAGTTCAGCCCCTAGTCTAGGAAGAGTCCATGTGCCGTGGAGCAACGAAGCTCACGCACCACAGCCACCAAGCCAGTGCTCACAGCTTCTAAGCCCATGCACCGCCCCCAAGAGCCTGAGCTCCGCAGCAAGGAAGTCACCACACGAGAAGCCCACAAGCTACAACTACTACAGTCCCCAGCCTCCAAACTGGAGAAAGCCCAGGCACAGCAATGAAGACCCAGCACAGCCAAAAGTAAATAGATAAATCTTAAAAAAAATAAACCAACTAGAATTTTATACCCAGTGAAACTATCCTTCAACAGTGGTGGTGAAATAAAGCCTTTTCCAGACAAATACATGCTAAGAGAATTCCCAGCATACTTTAAAAAGCACTAGAAATGGTAAAAATGTGGATAAATATATATTGCTTCTTGTTTCTTAATTTTCTTTAAAGGAAAATTGATTATTTAAAGGAGAAACAGAAACAATGTATTCTGAGCTACATAACACACATAGAAATAAAATATATGAAAACTTCAGCACAAAGGGGGACAAATGGAATCATTATGTAGTAGGATCTTATATTACATGTGAAATGTTTTCATGCTAATTCATGATAGACTGTAGTAAGTTAAGAATACATAACTTTAACCTATACAGTAGCTACTAAAAAGGAGAAGGGGAAAAATACCTGGAGAAAGAAAAGGCAGCAAAATTTAAGAAGAAACCACTAGGGAATAGGGAACTTAAAAAATATTTTTAGTTGAAAGATAATGAAAATATAAAATGGCAAAACCTGTGGGATGCAGGTAAAGCACAGTTTAAAGGGAACTTCATAGTTTTTAATCATAATATATTACATTTAAAAACAAATTTAAAGTTTTAAAATCAATAATCTAAGTTTCCAACATCCAGAGCTAGGGAAAAAATAACAGATTAAATCCTACGTTAGTAGAAGGAAGGAAATAATAAAGATGAAGTGGAAATCAATGAAATAGAAAATAAAAGTTTTTATAAAGACTTATTTTTTAATATCTATAAAATTTATAAAGTGACATGTAGGTTGATAGTTTTAAAAAGAGCACAAATACAATTTACTAGTATCAGGGATGAAAGAGGGGACATCTCTAAAGACACAAGAGAAACAGATAATCTGAGTAGCCAAATCTCTGTTATAAATAAACTGAATTCATAATTAAAAAACACTATATACTTAAAGAAAACTTCAGTTCCATATGGCATCTATCAAATTTGAACTCTATCAAACATTTAAGGAGGTAATAATACTATTCTTATACAAGGTATTTCAGAAAATAGAAGGAATCTTCCCAACTAATTTTATGAGGTCAAACAAAACCATAATACCAAAATAAGACATTGTAAGAAAATTACAAACCAAGATCGCTTAAGGACAAAGTCACAAAAATTAAGTGAAATCTTTGCAAGTTGAATCAAGCAATATAGAAAAATGATACTACATCAAGATTGACTGGGGCCTATATCAGGAATGCAATGTTGGTTAACATTTGAAAATCAAACAATGTAACTTACCATGTTAACAGAAGAAATGAGAAAAATCATATGACCCTTTCACTAGATGTATAAAAAGCAAACTGCAAAATCATTCACAGTAAAAGTTTTCAGCAAAATAAGAATAGAAAGTAATTTCCACATTTGATAAGGGATAACTAAGAGATGGCTGGATGGCATCACCGACTCGATGGACATGAGTCTGAGTAAACTCTGGGAGTTGGTGATGGACAGGGAGGCCTGGAGTACTGTGATTCATGGGGTCGCAAAGAGTTGGACACAACTGAGCGACTGAACTGAACTGAACTGAACTATGAAAAACCTAGAGATAACAGTCTAGTGAAAGACTAGCATCTTTCTCCCAATGATCAGAAACAAAACAAGGATGTCAGTCTTTATCACTTCTAATTAACACTGTACTAGCTACAATAACCAGTGCAAGAAAGTGCAAAAAATAAAAGCCATAAAAGTTGGAAAGGGAAAAATAAAACTTTATTCACAGATGACATGATTATGTATATAGAAAATCCCTAGAAAATACTGAGTTGCAGAAATAGACATGATCTCTCTTTGTCAATTGTTTGTTGACCAAGGTGCCCAATCAATTCAATGAGAGAAAAGAAATCTTTTAACAAATGGTGCTGGGACAATTGGGAATCCACATGGAAAAAATTTAACGTTGAATAATTTTCTCTCACTATACAAAAATTAATCCCAGATGGGTCACAGAACAAAATGAAAATTAAGAGCTTTTAGAAGAAAATATTTTGGAAAATACTTTGATAGTTTCTTATAAAAATACACCTACCCCATGGTTCAGTAATTGTACTATTAGATATTTATCCAAGAGAAATTAAAACATATGGTCACAAAAAAGTTTGTACAAGAATGTTTGAAGTATCTTTACTTATAAGACCTCCAAACTGGAAACAGGTCAAATATCCATCAAAGGAAAAATGGATAACCAAATTGTGGCATATCTATATAACGAAATTCTACACAGCAATAAAAGGAATGAACTACTGATACATGTAACAACATGGATTAATCTAAACAACTTTATTTTAAACCAAAGAATCAGACATAAAAAGAACATTTTCTAGCATCCAATTTATATGAAGTTCTAGGACAGGTAAAATTAATCTGAAGTAAAATAAATCAGAATAGTAGTTGCACTGTTGGGAGTGGGGAGAGAGCAGGGAGTAACTTGGCAGAGATATAAGAAAATTTCTGGGGTGATAAAAATGTTCTGTTACTTGGTAGGACTATAGATAACATGAGCATATTCATTTATCAATAATCACTGAACTACTGTATATTGTCACCTTGCTTATTTAACTTACATGCAGAGAACATCATGTGAATAGCCAGGCTGGATGAAGCACAAGCTAGGCTCAAGACTGCCAGGAAAAATATCAATAACCTTAGACACCACCCTTATGGCAGAAAGCAAAGAAAAACTAAAGAGCCTCTTGAAAGTGAAAGAGAAAAGTGAAAAAGCTGGCTTAAAATGCAACATTCAAAACACTAAGATCATGGCATCTGGTTCCATCACTTCACTGCAAATAGATGGGGAAAAAGTGGAAACAGTTGACAGATTTTATTTTCCTGGGGTCCAAAATCACTCCAATGGTGACTGTAGCCATGAAATTAAAAGACACTTGCTCCTTGGAAGAAACATTATGACCAATATTATGACCAATATGCTAGACAGCATATTTTAAAAGTAGACATTTTGTTTTGTCGGCAGAACAAAACATCTTGTTTTGCCGACAGAGGTCTGTCTAGTCAAAACTATGGTTTTTCCAATAGTCATGTACGGATGTGAGAGTTGGACCATAAAGAGAGCTGAGCACTGAAGAATTGATGCTTTTGAACTGTGGTGTTGGAGAACACTCTTGAGAGTCCCTTGGACAGCGAGGAGATCAAACCAGTCAATCCTAAAGGAAATCAGTCCTGAATATTCACTGGAAGGACTGACGCTGAAGCTCCAATACTTTCGCCATCTGATATGAAGAACTGGCTCATTGGAAAAGACTCTGATGCTGGGAAAGATTGAAGGCAGGAGGAGAAGGAGATGGCAGAGGATGAGATGGTTGGATGGCACCACCCCAACTTGATGGACATGAGTTTGAGCAAGCTTTGGGAATTGGTGAAGGACATGGAAGCCTGGCGTGTTACAGTCCATGGGGATCACAAAGAGTCAGACACGACTGAGCAACTGAACTGAACTGATAGACTTAAGACCCGTGCATTTCACTGGCTGCAAATTATACTTTAATAAAAACATTCTAAAAATGGTTAAAACTCACTCATCTACAATATTTATCCAGGATAGGAATTTCTAGGTTTTTTTTTACAAGACAAAATGTGAATAGATGACTAGGTGCTAAGTAGTATACTGTGCTTTTAATTGGCATTTCCCTGTGACTTCTTTTATTCTGCAAAATGCCTCTTCATAACTTGGCCCATTTTTCTACCACTGCTTTGTACTTTTTGTATCTTGCTTAAGAAATCTCTCCTAACTCCAAGGTCATAAAGGCATTATTCTGTATTTTCTTCTAAAAATTCCAAAGTTAACATATAAGTCTCTAATCCATCTGGAAATTATTTTTGTGTATGATGTGAGGTAGGCATCCAATTTCTTTCTCTTTTTCTCACATAGATAATCAATTTCCCCTAAATATCTACTGAAGTCTAGCATTTCAACAATGTTATGCAATGGCATCCTTGTTTTATATTGGCTTTCCATATAAGTGGGTCTGACTATACCCTAATCCTTTATTCTGGCTGTCAGTCCATACAAATATCATGTTAATTTTGATAGTATCAATATGTCATAGGGTAAGACCTCATCTTATTCTTCTTCATAATAGCTTGGCTACTTTTGGACCTTTCCTTTTCATATGAATTTTTGAATCAAGTTTTACAGTTCCTTGAGAAACCTATTAAATACTTGGCCCATTAAAATCCAATACTGACTGGTACTTTTACCCATTTTCAACATAAAGCAAAGATCTTTCTTAGAACACTTAAACTATATTTACCACTTCTAATTTATAATTTTATTCTCATTAATTTTAATCCTTTATATATATAAATATATAAAATAAAACATAATTATTGCTGTTATATATTTATTTACCTATATATTTACCATCTTCATTGTTCTTCATTCCTTGCATCTCTGACCTTCCATCTAAGATACTCTTCCTTCATCTGAATGATACCTTCAGTGTTTCCTTTAGAATGTATCTCCTAGTAGCAAACTACCTCAGATTTGGTCAGTCTTAAAATGTCTTCACTTCACTTTTATTTCTGGAGGATATTTTCACCAGGCATTGGACTCTTATTTTTTATTTTGGACAGTTATTTTTTTTTAATATCTTAATTATAATCAGTTTGTTTTCTTCCAGATTCAGTATTTTCTATTGAGAAGTCAGCTGTCAATTTAATTGTTGTCTTTTTGAAAATAACCTTTTTATTTTCCCCAGCAGCTTTTAGGATTTTATTCTTGTCTTATTATTTATTTTATTTCTTTTTATTTTTCCTGCTTTGGTTTTATAGGATTTCTTAAATTTGTGGTGTGATTATTTTTTGTCAATTTTTTAAACTTCCCAGCCATTATATCTTCAAATATTGTTTCTGCCCTATTCTCTCTCTTTTCCTTTTGGAATTCCAATCACACATAAATTTGACCTCACTCTAACTTATGTCTCTTGCTCTCTTTTATAAACTTACCATTGTTTTGTCTCTTCATTGATCTGGATGGTTTCATCTTTGAATTCACTAATTATCTCTTCTGATCTGCTGTTAGATGCACCATTAAGTTCTCAATTCCATTTACTGTATTTTTTACAATATTGTAATTTTTATTTGGTTCCTTCTCAAATCTGCTTTGCCATTTTATGGTTTCTAATATTCTGCTGAAAATTTGATCCTATTTTCTATCTCCTTGATTATAGCAAGTGTAATTATTTTAAAGTCTGTGTCTTCCAGAGCCAGGATCGAGCTCGAGCTAACTTGTGAGAGTGTTTATATATAGTCTGTTATGTATGCCATTTCTTTTGACAGTGTTTTATCTCCTTCTGCCTGGTTATCTTTCATTAAAAAGTTTCTCACTGTATAGAAGAAAGGTTTTTAGAAATAATTTGAGGACCCTGGGAACATTAGCCATCAAGGATCACTTTAATCTAATTTCAGGGACTAAGATTTTCTAGATTATTCTAATAATCTAGAGCTGAGCTATAATTTGTTCTCCTTCTTGTTCATCATTACAAAGCATTCAGAGTACAGAATATTTACCAGGGTTCCTACCCTTGGTAGATCCTGAACTCTTAACTTCTTTAGCCCCATAATGATGGCTTGCAAAAGCACTATTTAGCCTTTCAACTGACTCTTCTGGAATCAAAAATGTCCTGAAAACAAAGGGACCCAAAACCAACCACTCTGGAGGTCAACATCTTTGAATTTAAGTATGCACACAGATTTCTGAATTGGTGACCTTTCATCACCTTGTTAACTCTCCACCACTTCTGTGTATTTTCTTTTCTTCCTTTCTTTCTCCCTCCATCCCTTCCCTCTTACTTTTTTAATATTCTGTCCAGGGTTTGTGTTTTCCTCTATAGAAAAGTTGATTCAAATGACTTAGCGTGCATCACTGTAACTGGAAATTTCCTATATACAGCTTCGTATCCTATTTAAATTACAATATGACAATCTTCCCATGATATTAAATATTCTTCAAAAACATATATTACTATAGAAAATATAGTCACCTGTTGTTCTAGGATCATATTCTTCTCTCGTTCTACATTGAGAACCATTCTCTTTGTATATTCTAGTTGCTTCTCTAGGAGGATGCAGCGAGACTGGGCCGAGCTTAACTGCATACTTATATCTATGAAAAAGAAAAAGTAATAATCAATATCAGAGAGTTATCACAAGAAATTTATTATATGAATTCAATCAAAAGCCAGAAGTTTAAAACTTCTTTACTTCTAAATAATGACTCTTCCGAAATTATTAACATAAATTTTGTGAATATCTCATTAATTATATATAACTAATTTAACACTGACTCATAAAGACCTAGAGAGTATACTTCTGAAAGGGAAGGATGTCAGTGACTTGTGGGATCACAAAAACCTGACTATTCCTGGGAAATAACACCATCTGGAAAACAGAAGACCTAAGGGAACATTTTATACAAAGATGGGCACAATAAAGGAGAGAAATGGTAAGGACCTAACAGAAGCAGAAGATATTAAGAAGAGGTGGCAACAATACGCAGAGAACTACACAATAAAGAGCTTCATTACCCAGATAATCATGATGGTGTGATCACTCACCTAGTGCCAGACATCCTGGAATACGAGGTCAAGTGGGCCTTAGGAAGCATCACTATGAACAAAGCTAGTGGAGGTGATGGAATTAGAATTGTGCTATTTCAAATTCTAAAAGATGATGCTGTGAAAGTGCTGCACTCAAAATGCCAGCAAATTTGGAAAACTCAGCAGGGGCCACAGGACTGGAAAAGGTCAGTTTTCATTCTAATCCCAAAGAAGGGCAATGCCAAAGAATGCTCAAACTACCGCACAATTGTACTCATCTCACACACTAGCAAAATAACGCTCAAAATTTTCTAAATGAGGCTTCAACAGTACATGAACTGTGAACTTCCGGTTGTTCAAGCTGGATTTAGAAAATGCAGAAGAACCAGAGGTCAAATTGCCAACATCCACTGATCATCAAAAAAGCAAGAGAGTTCCAGAAAAACATCTACTTCTGCTTTGTTGACTATGTCGAAGTTTTGACTGTATGGATCACAACAAACTGTGGAAAATTCTGAAAGAGATGGGAATACCAGACCATCTGACCTGCCTCCTCAGAATTCTGTATGCAGGTCAAGAACCAACAGTTAGAACTGGACATGGAACAACAGACTGGTTCCAAATTGGGAAAGGAGTATGTCAAGACAGTATATTATCACCCTGTTTATTTAACTTATACGCAGAGTACATCATGAAAAACGCTGGACTGGAGGAAGCACAAACTGGAAACAAGACTGCCAGGAGAAATATCAATAACCTCAGATATGCAGATGATACCACATTTATGGCAGAAAGTGAAGAGGAACTAAAGAGCCTCTTGACAAAAGTGAAAGAGGAAAGTGAAAAAAATTGGCTTAAAACTCAACATTCAGAAAACAAAGATCATGGCATCTGGTCCCATCACTTCAGGGCAAATAGATGGGGAAACATAGAAACAGTGAGAGACTTTATTTTTTTTTTTCCATTTATTTTTATTAGTTGGAGGCTAATTACTTTACAATATTGTGGTGGGTTTGTCATACATTGACATGAATCAGCCATGGATTTACATGTATTCCCCATCCCATTCCCCCTCCCACCTCCCTCTCTACCTGATCCCTCTGGGTCTTCCCAGTGCACCAGGCCCGAGCACTTGTCTCATGCATCCAACCTGGGATGGTGATCTGTTTCACTATAGATAATACACATGTTTTGATGCTGTTCTCTCGAAACATCCCACCCTCACCTTCTCCCACAGAGTCCAAAAGTCTGTTCTTTACATCTGTGTCTCTTTTTCTGTTTTGCATATAGGGTTATCGTTACCATCTTTCTAAATTCCATATGTGTTAGTGTACTGAAATGGTCTTTATCTTTCTGGCTTACTTCACTCTGTATAATGGGCTCCAGTTTCATCCATCTCAATAGAACTGATTCCAATGAATTCTTTTTAATGGCTGAGTAATATTCCATGGTGTATATGTACCACAGCTTCTCAAAAAATGGGCCAAAGAACTAAACAGACATTTCTCCAAAGAAGACATACAGATGGATGAGAGCTGAAGAACTGATGCTTTTGAACTGTGGTGTTGGAGAAGACTCTTGAGAGTTCCCAGGACAGCAAGGAAATCCAACCAGTCCATCCTAAAGGAAATCAATCCTGAATATCATTGGAAGGACTGATGCTGAAGCTGAAGCTTCAATACTTTGGCCACCTGATGCGAAGAACTGACTCATTTGAAAAGACCCTGATGCTGGGAAAGATTGAGGGCAGGAGGAGAATGGGACAAAAGAGGATGAGATGGTTGGATGGCATCACAACTCTATGGCCATGAGTTTCAGTAAGCTCCAGGAGTTGGTGATGGACAAGGTAGCCTGGTGTGCTGCAGTCCACAGGGTAGCAAAGAGTCAGACACGACTGAGCAACTGAATTGACTGAAATTCTCTTCCCTAATATGTATATTTATATAATATAATGTAAAATAATAAATATATTTCTTCTCTTTCAGAAAACTCAGATATATGCATTCTACCATTTCCATTTTCCTTACTTCTCAACTACTGATCACATAGTTAATTCTGTAAGAAGTAAGCAACCTCATTCTAATTCTTTAGCTTCCTTGGCTCTTTATTCTGTGTTCGTTCAGTTACCTCAGGACTTTTTCTTCTCCTCATTTCGTCTATTTTTCAGTTAAAACACAAACTTGAACCTTGTTTATGAGGGTGATATAGTGTTACAGGAGGAAAAAATGCCACAGTTTTGAAGTGAACTTTATATATAACTTATGTTCTAAATCTCTAAAATTTGCGTCCAGAAGTCCTTTTCCTAATTTCCTCAGAAAGCACCTACCTGTCCACTTCTTCCAATTAATCTTTTAAGTTATTTTTATTGTTTTATTTTTATATTATTTAACTACTAGTATTGCTTTTATTTTCAAATTTTTAAAAAACTATTAAAAATAGGAAGCATTTAAATTATATTGCAGGCTAATAATATATATGATAATAATATATAATATAAGATATGATAGTATATTGCCTTTCTCAAAGAAAGGCAATGCCAAAGAATGCTCAAACTACTGCACAATTGTACTCATCTCACATGCTAGTAAAGTAATTTTTTAAAATTCTCCAAGCCAGGGTTCAACAATACATGAACCGTGAACTTCCAGATGTTCAAGCTGGTTTTAGAAAAGGCAGAGGAACCAGAAATCAAATTGCCAACATCTGCTGGATTATCAAAAAAGCAAGAGAGTTCCAGAAAATCATCTATTTCTGCTTTTGACTGTGTGGATCACAATAAACTGTGGAAAATTCTGAAAGAGATGGGAATACCAGACCATCTGACCTGCCTCCTCAGAAATCTGTATGCAGGTCAGGAAGCAACAGTTAGAAATGGACATGGAACAACAGACTGGTTCCAAATAGGAAAAGGAGTACGTCAAGGCTGTATATTATCACCCTGCTTATTTAACTTCTATGCAGAGTACATCATGAGAAACGTTGGGCTGGAGGAAGCACAAGCTGGAATCAAGACTGCCAGGAGAAATATCAATAACCTCAGATATGCAGATGATACCACCCTTATGGAAGAAAGCAAAGAAGAACTAAAGAGCCTCTTGATGAAAGTGAAAGAGTGAAAAAGTTGGCTTAAAGCTCAACATTCAGAAAACTAAGATCATGGCATCTGGTCCCATCACCTCATGGCAAATAGATGGGGAAACAGTGGAAACAGTGGCTGACTATTTTTTTGGGCTCCAAAATCACAGTACATGGTGACTGCAGCCATGAAATTAAAAGACGCTTACTCCTTGGAAGGAAAGTTATGACCAACCTAGACAGCATATTAAAAAGCAGAGACGTTACTTTGCCAACAAAGGTCCATCTAGTCAAGGCTATGGTTTTTCCACTGGTCATGTATGGATGTGAGAGTTGGACTGTGAAGAAAGCTGAGTGCCAAAGAATTGATGCTTTTGAACTGTGGTGTCGGAGAGGACTCTTTGTGAGTCCCTTGGACTGCAGGGAGATCCAACCAGTCCATCCTGGAGGAGGTGTTCATTGGAAGGACTGGTGCTGAAGCTGAAACTCCAATATTTTGGCCACCTCTATGCGAAGAGTTGACTCATTGGAAAAGACCCTGATGCTGGGAGGGATTGGGGGCAGGAAGAGAAGGGGATGTCAGAGGATGAGATGGTGGATGGCATCACCAACTCAATGGACATGGGTTTGGGTACACTCTGGGAGTTGGTGATGGACAGGGAGGCCAGGCGTGCTGCAGTTCACAGGGTGGCAAAGAGTCGGACATGACTGAGCAACTGAACTGAACTGAATAATACATGAATTCTGTTGGTATTCTGAAAATATTATAATTCCTAAATACAACTTGCCTAAAAACTTAATTTTTCTTTTAATCTCAATAATTTATGAACTGTGATAACAGATAATATACAGGCAAGTTTAAAATTATATCCATTTAGTGCAAATATCAAAATATCTGAGGACAAGCCTGCAAGGTTTGAATGCATATAAGAACAAAGATATTGAGTAAACCTTCTCAGATTGGGCTTTTTATTTTCAAGTTGTAAACTTTCGCAACCTCTTCCTCTGAGAATTACTGAATTTTCTTACCTTTTTTCTGCTTTATCAGTTCCTCATGTGCCAGATTTCTCTCACTTGTTTCATTCTCCAAGGCCTTTTTATATTGTGCCGCTTCTCTGGAAAGAATGTTCAGGTTATCTTCAGCTTGTGTTCTCTCTAACTCTAAACGATGAATCTTTTCCTGAAGAGTTTTTAATGCTAAAATAAGAGCTGTTGAAAAAATTTCCTTGATATTTTAAGTGAGAATTTTTGAGCACTTATAATCATAGCAGCATATAAGAGTGAGCAGTATATTTTTGCTAGTTAAGTAAAAAAAAAAAAAGCAATTTATATTCCTCATAAAAAAGAAAAATGACTAAAATTCTAAAGAGGGACAAATTCTAACATGTCTTATAAAAATAATATATTTATGATTTTTTTTCCATTTATTTTTATTAGTTGGAGGCTAATTACTTTACATCATTGCAGTGGTTTTTGTCATACATTGAAATGAATTAGCCATGGATTTACATGTATTCCCCATCGATTATATTTAGTAATTTTCTAAGTTTGAGATGTGAGAAAACTAATAATCACATTTTAATTTAGCAAAGCAAATATGTTCAAAACATATGCAAAAAATGATATATATGTATATGTGTGTGTGTGTGTGTGTGTGTGTGTACAGAGAGAGGGAGAGAGTTAGAGAGATAGGAGTGTGGGGAGAAAGGGAAGAAGCAGGTGAAGAAGGAAGGAAGAAAGGGAGGAAGGGAGAAAGGAGGGGAAGATTGAGGCATACAAGTCTGAGAATGGATAAGGAAAATTAAAATATGCTGTTCACTAATTAACAAGGAAATTTAGGTTTAAAGTTAAAATTTTTTCTCAGTTCTTGATGTATTCAGTTTCAGTCAAATCACAAACATTTTTTGTCCAAGATATAATGTTAATTTTTAGAACATATGAGGTAGAACACTGCTTCTTCTATCAAGTAAAAATTACAACCTAGTGGTTTAACTGATGTTAGGCTTGAAAGATTGTGTTACACATGCACTACTATGATTATTATTCATATATTAATATCTTCATAATTCAGGTAACCTCAAGTTATAAAATTTTCAAATATTATATGTTCTTCTAAGTTACAACTTCAAATTGTAAAACTAGAGATGAATGGAATATAAATAAATGTTCAAGATTAACTTTCATATAGTTCATATCCAATTAGAAAGATATTTGTTAGAGATTATTGTTTGGTTTGGATTAATATTTCTTGTAGTTGCTTTGTTCCACAAAGCTATAGTCTATTTATAATGGCAACCATTATTATAAAAGATTAAAAAACATGACTATCCGTATCTTAGGAAGTAATGTATATGGTACAGGTATGCCTGGAATCATAAATGTTTTTCTAATTAAATTTTAAGATTCTCTTAAACTTATATTTTAAAAGTTATAATACTTGTATTTTGTAGTTACTCCAATGAACTGGATTCATGAAGAATTTTCAAGGGTAATTTCGGATATATGCAATTTCTGAATTTAACCCTTGACTAAGATTAAAATCAACTTAATTCTTTAATATTCTAACCATCTTATTCATTAGAAGGATTCTCCAAATCTGACCTTTTATTCTTCAGAATATTTTCCTATTTTGAATGACATTTTAATGATAAACCTGCAATATGTGCCTAGCTGGTTATATTAATCTTCATCTTATAGCAAAGAAGCCAAAATAAAAAAATGTTAAGTAACTTAAATTTACAGAAACTTTAAGCAATAGAGTCAAAATTAGCATTTTACTAAGATTAGTTAAATATACAATCATCTTATTTTCTACATAAAAGTGAAGAGTTTTACATAACATGCTTCCTAATTCCCCTAATTTTAAATATGATTTTTTTATTAGCATTACCTTGGCTATTTGGACTACGAAGCATTTTAGAAGATGTAACTTCTAAGTTCACAGAGTAGCGAGTCTGAGATGATTCATCACTCTGGGTGACTGATGGAACACACACTCTTTCTGGAGGTTTAAGATAGCTTCCGACTATACTATGCATTAATTCAGAATCCATTATCTGTAGAGAATAAAAGAAAGACATAGTATAGCATCATTTTTTTCCTATGTGGATAACAAAAATATCAGAAAAAATTCAGGTGGAACTTTTAACATAAATATATAATCATATACTGTGGAATTATGTCTTTATAAAGTTTATTATCACAAGTTCAACCATAATAAGCTCACCAGTAAAAGAAAAACATGACGATTTACTCTATAAACAGTATAGAAAATTCTGCCTGATTCTCAGAGTATATGCTCTTTAGTGAGCATTACATGAGTGGTGTGAATTTGCTGGTTTCTCACTTGATTGTAAGATCATCATCTGAGCATTCCTCTACAAAGAGTTTGACTCTAGCATTCAAACATAAAATACATATTCTAACAATAAACTCTGTTTTAGATATAGTTGAATTTGAGGTGCTTACGGACAAGAGCTATCTACCAAATGAATTGAAATACAGGTCTGGAGTTTAGGTGAGCAGTCTAGGCTAGATCTATTGATATAGATTTGGTTATCCATTAGATTACCCAAGGAGAGCATAAAGATTAGCATGTGTGTATGCATGAAAAGGGGTGGCTAAGATTCAATGCCTTTCTTTATCCATTAGAGAGCTAATGTTATCTGTCCACTGTGGTGCCCTTCAGATATGTTGAGGCAAAAATTTTAAAGGTCAAGAATGACAGATTTAGGAGATAAATGAGGAGCTCAAAATGCTGATGACCACCTAGCATTCAGAAGACAAATGAAGAATCAAAGGAGATCAAAGAGGAGGGAGCAAAAATGGAGGGGGCGGGGAGAAGCTGGAGAAAGTAGTAACAAAGTCAAAGTAAGAACAGGTAATTGTTTAGTATCTACATTAACATGGTATGCCTTGTAGAAAAGGCATAGGCTTATACTATGTAGGACATGGCTTCTGCAGTCAAATAGTCTGCCATCTCACTTTTGAAGAAAGATGAGTAAGAGACAATGAGAAGAGGGAAAAAACACAGGGGGTAAGTTCGCTAGCAGTATATCCAATAAAATTAGTTTGCTTATTTCATAATTATTAAAATTGTATTGAGCATTCTTCAACTCTATTATCCTAAATGAGTCTAAATAGAAGAAATATGATTACATTAATACAATACCCAGTTTTTGAAACAGTGCAAAGCAATGCCAATCTTTTATAACTTGTAATACATCATCTAATTGTTATGTGCACAATTAATTCTCAATGCCATGATATAAGTGCTACCTAATTTCCAAGAAAATGTAACAATTTGTAGATTTAAAACATCTAGACTTACAAACATTTTATCTAATAAGTAGAAAGTTAGATTTTTCCTTACCGAACTTGATTACAGCAAGTTTAAAACTTAACAATGCCGGAGATTATTAAGTGATTAGACTCTCTATTACCTTTACCTGTACTTTATCTTGAATATTCAGTTTGGAGAAACGTTCTTGATTTAAAATAAAGTGAATAAAGGATATAAAATTATATAATTATAGCTCGATTTTTAAAAAGGACAAAGATAAACATAGATAAAAGACTATAAATGTACTAAATAATAGCAAATAATATCCATTATATTATATAATAATAATTGCAAATATATTAAATGTTACTAGAGGGACAACAGATTTTTATTTTGTTATTTTGACAGAGGATGAGATGGTTGGATGGCATCAGTGACATGATGGACATGAGTTTAAGTAAGCTCCAGGAGTTGGTGATGGACAGGGAAGCCTGGCATGCTGCAGTCCATGGGGTTTGCAAAGAGTCAGACACAACTGAGCGACTGAACTGAACTGACTGATTTCTACTTTCTTACACATTCTATACAATACATACATATTAGTTTTATAATAAGAAACAAAATTTATTAATTTCTTTTTAATTAGATTTCTGCAAAGGTAGAAAACAGCTGAAGACATACAGAATCAATGGTTTATACTGATATTTGTAGAGGCACTTATATCTTTTCATTTTTAAAGGTCTTATGCCTCTTAAATCAACATAAATTCAAGGAAGGCAATTATGTTATTTCTTCTGTGAGTTCCTACAATCTAAACTTCTATGCTCTGCAAGAGGGTACTTATTCTCAGGACCTAATCCAAAAAATACTTGTAAAATGAATTCCCTGAAACTAATCTGGTAGGTCAACAACTTTTCCCTACCTTCTTACACTAATGTTTGTCATAGTTAAACCGAACAATTCTATAAATACTGCCCTACATTTAAAAAAATCACACATTCAGTTCAGTTGCTCAGTCGTGTCCAACTCTTTACCTTGGTATATACTTTGCATACAGTGTTTAATTTAATATCATTTTATTTAAGAAAGTAAATCATAATTATTAGAATTTTAAAGTATTACTGATATTTCTTCAGAAAGTTTTCATTAAAAAAAGTGATTCTGAAAGGGTTTGAACATTCTTATGTTTATTATATTTATCTGTCGAACTTTGTTTCTAATCATTTGTCTTCTAAGGCGAGGGTGGGATGTTTCGAGAGAACAGCATCGAAACATGTATATTATCTACAGTGAAACAGATCACCAGCCCAGGCTGGATGCATGAGACAAGTGCTCGGGCCTGGTGCACTGGGAATACCCAGAGGGATTGGGTAGAGAGGGAGGTGGAGAGGGGATCGGGATGGGGAATACATGTAAATCCATGGCTGATTCATGTCAATGTATGACAAGACCCACTGTAGTATTGTAAAGTGATTAGCCTCCAACTAATAAAAATAAATGAAAAAAAATTAAAAAATAAAAAAATAAAAATAAAAAGTTAATTAACAGAAATTTAATTAAGTAGAGTAGAGATCAGAAGGGGGAGCTCTCATGCTCTGTGACACGGCTGAGTCCAACAGGAAGAAAAAATACTCTTTTTTCCTGGCAAAGATTCAGCCAATGAAAAGCCACAGACTCCTGGTTTACTACAGCCCTCCCAACTTCCTTTTCCCCTCTATAAAAAGAGTTCTCCTTCCCTTGCCTTGCTGAGACTTGCACAGGGCCCACCACAATGGCAAATTCCAAATAGTAATTTTGTGCTGATCCCAAATAAACCCATTTTTGCTGGAGAAATATCTGGCAGTCTATTTTTTTGGGTCAACACCCTTTAGAATGATTGATGGCAAAGTTATTAAATGTATAAAGAAATTAGAAATTGAGTCAACAAATAATGAATTTTAAAGTTAACAGTACTCAGATTAGTTGCTATAAACCTTCCTTGGCCTTTACTTTTTTTCTCTCCCACAGATTGAGCACACTCAATATTTGGAATTAATTATGGGAGTACCGATTAGTCACGCAACCCAAGGGGGAATGAGCTATTGGACAATGATAAATAACTAGAGCTTATCTATTTAATTGCCAAAATTTATTTCAACTAGTTTTAAAAGAAATATTTCTAAAATGTTTAACCTATTTTTCTTCCTTTTAGGCAGAGTATACTCAACACAATTTAACCTTTGGGATGACTTAAGGATATCATAATAGCATTTTAATTATGCATGATGATACTTAGAGAATCACACTGATATTCGTTGATTTGCCTGCCCTTTTGCTGAAAAGTTCCAGTGTTACAGACTTTGTTTTCTGTCTTTTCACCTCTTGCTATCTCTTCCCTTCCTGTCTTCTTATGAACTACTCCATGCAAGTAAGTATCCTTCCCCTAATTACTTTCTGAACCTATAACAAATAAGAAACAATAAAACAATCATTTCATTTATTAGCCATTCAAAGATGAAAAACACAGTCCCTGGCAGTCCTTAAAACATTAACAGCTTAATTATACTAAAAACAGTGCCTTGTGAACCCAGAGGATGGGCATCTAAAAAGTTTGGGGGTTTCAGAGATAGCTTCCTGGAGGAGCTAGTTCTCAAACTGAAAAACAAAGGATGAGTAAGTAGGATTTGACAGGCAAAAGAAAGTGAGAAAATGGACAGAGAGGAGGATCAAGTGTACAAGCAAAAGAAACAGCATGGTAATAATAAAAATAATGATACCTCACCTTTATTACTTGAGGGGTTAATTTACTAAAATCCACCTAACAACTCTATGAGGACAATTATTTTCATTTTATTTTTTATTTTATTTTTTTTTCATTTATTTTTATTAGTTGGAGGCTAATTACTTTACAATATTGTAGTGGTTTTTGTCATACATTGACATGAATCAGCCATGGATTTACATGTATTCCCCATCCCGATCCCCCCTCCCACCTCCCTCTCCACCCGATTCCTCTGGGTCTTCCCAGTGCACAGAATTATTTTCATTTTAAAGATGAGTAAACTGTGGCACAGAAAAATTGTTTTGTGCAAGGTAACACAACTAAAGTAGCAAAGTCAGAACTTGGGCAGCTTGACTCTGAAGCTCACACTTTTAACCACCAAGCTTTATTGCTTATTTATCCAAAGTTATGAAAGCTAGAGAGAAGGTGATGTTTTGGGAAAGCTACTACAAGAAATGTTGGAAGATTGCAAATATGCCTAAGTATTGCAGAAGAGAGGGCAGAAACCAGATCTGAGGAGCCTAGTAAGCCAGGCACAGGTGTTTGGATTTTATCCCATGGGCAATGAGAGTCACCCAACAGAGGAGTAGCAGTATCACATTGCCTTTGATAAAGATTTCTGAGAGTCAGAACAGAGAAAAACAACCAGAGGTTAGACTTCCAGACAGGAGACTATTCTAGAATGCTTTGTGTGAAAATAAAGATCTGAACCAAAGCAACAGAAGTGGGAATGAAAAGAAGGGGACAAATTAGAGATAATTAGGATATTGAATTTATAGAATGTATGGCTGAGATGAAGAAAATTAATGATAGGGAGAAATTAAATATAGCTCTAGTCAAAGCAGAAAACAGATTTTGAAGGGTGTCAAGGTTAATATAAAAGGTTAATTTTAGACATGTTTGAAGTGTTTGTCGGACAATGTGTGTGTGTGTGCGTGCGCACGCATGCTTAATTGCTCAGTCATGTCCAATTCTTTGTGACCCCATCTACTGTAGCTCACCAGGCTCCTATG